ACAATAAATTTTTGTCACGAGTCAGCGATACATAGTGTTTGAGCGTGCTCATTATTCCAACGTTTCTGCAGCAGTCAATTTCCACACCATTGAGTTTGTACCGAATTTCATGGAACAGAAAGGCCGCGCAATTATTTGTCAAAATCTCAACTGCATGGTTATCACCTTCTATCCTCGTTTGTATAAACTTATCCTCGATGTAGAAAAAACTCTTACAACGTGTACAAATCCTGCTGTTGTATCGGTATTTGTATCTCGTCACTGTGTCCAAAAGATGTATTAGTACTTATTAAAGATTGGCATATGGATTGTACGTGTGAGTCTCGATCTTGACGATGCGATCGTCAAAGATCGGCTCACTCCCAATATTCAAAATGTCGACCATCTTCACGTATTTTTTCGTACGATGAATCCCAAAGATCTTAAAAATGCAATGTTGGCTGCGCTAAGTTTCTTATTTTTCTTGATGCGGTTTATAATCGTCCTTTTGATAGGAAAAATGTCGCTCACATATTTAGTCTGACTCGCTTCGTTCAATACGAACATCTCAGGTGTCCTATTGCTGCCGCCGCCGCACGTGCAACCTGATAATTATCTCTTCTCCGCAAAAATCAAGCAATCAACCGTGTTGATCCACAACACGTATCGTCAAATCCGATATGCTCTGTGCAAAGATCGGAAGATAAATGGTCTGTACCGGCGTTTCCGATATTTTATATCCTGGTGGTACATTAAGCGAAAACTCGTGTATGGTGTGCACACATCTGTCGTTGCTGTACGCACCGGTAGTCACATTACATTCTACGCAAATAATATTCACATCTGTAATGTTGATTGTCACGTTCGATTCGTGCTAATGTTGCGGCTGCAAAATGCGATCTGAAGAAAATCCCAGTAGCGATGCAATGGTATTTGGTTTGTTAAAGTTGATCCGGTGAACACAATTGATCTCACACTTCATTGTATTCTCATTGGCGCGAATAACTATGAGATCATCATCATCATCATCATTGGTAGTGATCGGTTTGATGGTTTCCAACATTGCACGTTTCAGGTACCGGTATATGGCATACAATTCGTACGATCCCATAGAAATTATAATTTCCTTGTCGTCCTCATCAAGGTAAAATTTATTATTCGACGTATTTACATTTGTAATCATATTATAAGCTTCAAAGGCTGTCAAACCGAGTTCGTAATCGCCTGCGCTCAGATCTATGGCTGGAAAGTAGTTTCCCGCGAGAGTGCTATTCCAGTTCGTGAGTGTAAATGTCAGCGACATTTTCGTCAGAGACCAAAACAATTACTGGACACCGATCGCAGAACGTTGGACTTTAAATCGGTTCTTAACTATCTGCAGGAAACGTAGACACAGTTGTCCACAAATGTTCTGATTGTAACGTTGATAAGACGTACGATTGTACTCAATCGTATTATTCTCGAGATATCGCACCAATTCGCTGGGTGGTCGAAGATTACCAAAACTATCGAAATATATCATGTGATCGCCTCTTTTCGCGTACGCTACTCAATAAGTACCGAGCCCCTCAACGTCATCCAAATTTAAGATGCCGCTCTCGTTTACGCGCGGCGATGTAGGCAGTACGTGGCGCATGAAAACGCCACTGAAGAACGGAATACGCATACGTTTCGCCAATTGTTCCAATTGTACATTGGTGGTGACGCCCGTAAGCATTTTTAGCATTTTTCGACGTTTTTTTCCTCTCATGATACCTTTTCCTTGTTTGTATGGTGCAAGATAAATTCCACGACCTTCCATGCTGCGATTATGACGTTGCATCTCCTGCAGCTGACGCTGTGCAGCCTTAGTATCGTTTACAACCTTTGCGACCCACGCCACTCCACCAACTAGCGATCAAAGCGCTCCCAGCAGCGGGAGAATAGGTAGGATTCCACCGCGTTTTGCTATCGGAAGTATTCGATTTCGTAATATTTTCTTCTTCGACGTGCTTCGCTTCTTTTTCATACCTATTCTGATTTTTTTCTTAGTTCTCATAGCTGCCCAAATGGCTGTAGCGGCGGCTTTCTCACCGAGAATGGAATCTCTCGCGACTATATGTTCTCGCGCCTTGTTAGCGAGTACGGTTATCTGCCACGTGACGTTCGACGAGATCGTTGCTTCGAGAATACGCG